ACAGAAAACTGACTAAGTGTGGCCTTTTTCTTGCAGTGTGATTGGCAAATTGCAATGCCTCACTGCACAAGTTATATTGCTGGTCAGAGGGCTTAAAACAAAATGACAACTTTTTGTGAAAGTACGTAAGCTATAACTAGTACTCTCATTCCAGAAATGTTGCTTTTCTTTTTTCCATCAGTATATACAAGTGTGTGTGTAAATAATCTCTGTTGAACAGGGGAATCCCACAGGGCACAGTGTAGGCAAGGAATGGCCTTTCCAGAGGGGGTTTTCAGAACACATTAGAACAATCTGTATTGGAAACTGAAAGCTGAAAGCTTTGGAAAGACCCCCCACTACTGAAGGATATACAGACATCTTTAGCAAAGCTAAATAGGCTCGTAGCCTCCTGATTTATAAAATCTTCCCTCATTGATTTTTTAAAATAGCAAAACAAAACGTCTCTTAATTAAATGCTTCCTTGGCCAGCCTTATGTGTTAGGCTTAATGTATCCTTCATTTAAATTAGTTTCTTAATTATATTTAACTGTTCTCCTGCCCAGCCCTGATTTACAGGATTTGTTAGTATTCTATGTATTGTGGCCAGGACAGTCTGTTTTTATTGTTAACAAGGCACTGCTCTCTAAAGGACTTTCAACATGTTACTACTGCAACATAAATGAAATGTTACATACACTAATAGAATATTGTTTTTAATTTTGCAGTTAAAGAAAGACCAAGTGTTTAAATCCTAGACACCTGGCAAAATCAAGGACGTCAAAGTTTAGGTATACTGTCTTAAGCTATTAAATTTTAATGCACTGTATCCTAGTGTTTCTCAACTTTCTGCATCCCACAATTATTTGATACACAATTAAAGGGCACATTTAGTCATTTGTGATTGGGATCAAATGCATCAATACCATTTACTTCCTGTTAATAATTATTATTAATAATTACTTATATGTGTTTATAAGCGCAGTTCAATTGATATTTCATAGTACTTTACATACAGAAACTGCTTAACCTATCAAAATAAAGAGTGTCTTTAAGGAAGCCAGACTGTACAAGCCAAACAACATTTAACCACGATCCTAGTGTTGTTACCCCAACTCTTATGAATTTGCCATTACCGTTTGGTGCAGCATAACAACACTAAGCATTTTTGTTCAGCAGCAGAACAAGAATAATTTTGCGTTTCGGCCGTAGAGCCTTATTCAGGTGTTAAATTTCGGGTGTCACACCTGAAGAAGGCACCACGGCCGAAACGTTGTGTTTTCATACTTCTTTTTTTCAGCATGGAATAGACCTTGTTCCTTTGCAATCTTTATCTTATATGAGAACAAGTAATAGGTTTATTCCATGCTGAAAGGAGAAGAAAGAAAACAACGTTTTCGGCTGTGGAGCCTTTTTCGGGTGTTAAGAAGGCTCCACAGCCGAAACATTGTGTTTTCTTTCTTTTCTTTGCACCTTGGAATAAACCTATTACTTGTTCCTTTGCAGCCTACGCATACTGACCCAGCTACCCACCTGGACTACTTTATCTTATATGACAGAATTGCAGGTCAAACACATTAAAATGTTTAAACTGTACACTCACAAAAACATTCCCAAAAATAGGCAAAAATATTAGAAACACAGTTTAACTAGAGACACTGCTACTCTTAGCCAAACATATCAGAAGGACAGAAGGGTCTAGGCTCTTCCAGTACCTTGTGAATTCATTAAATTATGGTCAGCCAGTATGCACAGCAAAGCACCTGTGCCATATGTCTCCTAGAATTTCAGATGCTACACCCATGGTGTGAGAGTCATTTTTGTAATGTAGTGATGCAGGAAGAATGGCCTGTACCTGTTGAATATGATTTGGAACCTCCCAGACTGGTAACAGAAGGTGCTTGATGTGTCCATAGTTTTTCTTCACAAGGAATAAACATCCAATCACCATTGCAATGACCCCAATTGGAATCAGAACTGAGATCACAAGTAGCTTTATAGATTTTGTCTCCTCTAAAGGTAGGAAGAGAAAGGAGTAATTAATGTCTGGTTCAATGCAGGTGACTTTTAACCTTCCAATATTTCTTTTCAAGTAACAATGGTTATTGAATGATACATTTTGAGATTTCCTCAGTTCAAATCCTCCAAGGATAAAATGATTTCTGGTTTTCAATACACTACATTGATTTATTTCTATATTCACTTTATAACAATTAGGAATTTATGGGCTCAGTTATTTAATTAAAACCTTAAGGTAAACTAATGACCAGAATCCATCCAAGGACCACAGCTCAGGATGGGACAGCTGTTAAATCACAGAAAGTGTGAGGCTTATCACAAGTACTACAGATATCAAAGTGTCCTACTGGATGGGAGAATGTGACCCCTGATGTTCTGCCTACCCTGCATTGAGGAGATTTAGGGACATAAAGTGACAACAGAACTATGAAAATGAAAACAATTTAAGCAAATATTTGCCTCTGATTAAGTGAAAAACAAATTCCAATTTAAAAAATAAAACAAATGATGAAAAGTACAGTACTGCTTCTTCCAACCTCAGTCAATGAGTATCCTCTCTTAGACTGAGAGTTTGAATTGAGTGTCACATTGACCAAACTGTAAACACAGCCGTAAATTGAAACACTGAAGGAAAGCAAATATACCCTGAAAGGTTAATCCACCTCATGTATGAATTTGAGTCACAGTCTGAAAGTGGTTTCTTCTGATAACTTCAGCTCTAAACATCCAGAGGGATCAAATGTAATGTCTTTCTCTACAAACTTGATTACAGTTGTTGAAAGATCTTTTTAACTTGCAAAACAGGATATGCAATTTATGCAACTACAATGACAAAAGAAACCAAAATATATTTAACGGTAAGGCATGCTTGATGAGCAACGGGAAAAAAGTGTGTAAACCTCCTACTGGAAGATGATCCCATTTAAAAAGTAACAGTAACAGCAAGAAAACAAGGACTTACCGTCTTCAAGGATGTCTGTACATTCTTTTTTTGGAACAGTCTTTAGCTCAGTAAACTTAGAAATCACAATAGACACATTAACACAGTATCTTGTCCAAGGAACAAGGTCTTCAAAGAGAATTGGAGACTTCTGAAGGCGAAAACCAACTTTCTATAGAGTCAAAATAATCAACCAATTACTACAGACCAATTCATATTTTACAAGATGTACTACATAAAGGTAAAATAAGCCTGATTAAACTTTGACTAAATACACTTTTCTCAAGGATTCTACCAGTATAAACCTTTGCAAAATTATCTAGCTGAAAGTAGACAAGACTTGAGCACATATTTAAAATGTACCAAGAGAAAATAGATATTCAGGCACAGCCAAAACAGCTGGCACAGTTTTCATATCAAACAGTTACACACTAATTCGACTAGTTTTAAATGTTCATTTGAACTTATTTATAGCTTATTGATTACTTATTGAGCTCATTGACTCATCCTACTGAATAGTCATGTAGATTCCCAATGAATTAAATGAGCTCACACAGTTAACAATTTAGTGTTCCCTGTGCCCTCCTAATCACTTTTTCAGAAATTTAGCACAGCTGAGATTCAAAACATAAGTCCATCCTATAAGTCACCTTCATCGGGTCATCTTTCTTGAAACTGACAACACTGTATTTCAGATGGTCTTTGTACTCATTCTTAAGTGAAGGAGGTACAGATGCTACAACAGTCATAGCACGTTTTCCAGGGATGAGATTGACATTGGGTGGCCCAATCACAGCTGTGGAAGGAGAAAAACAAACTTAGTACATCAGTATCTTATATATCTTAAGCTCTACTGAGAAAAACGTTGACATCTGTACGTATATATATATATCAGTTTTGTAAGACAAATATCTTTACTTTGCCCACATATCCACAAAATAAATGTTTACCAAGAATTTACAAGAACCTTAAAGATCTCATCATCAACCTTTCAGAATTGAAAAGATCCTAGCGATAAACTTTGAAGATCCCAATACTGGACCAGCAGGTCACAAATAATGATTCCAAACATGTACAAGAAAGTGAGCAGCGGTAATATTTGTTCTAATTCAGCAGCTCCCTAGAAGTGAAAAATGATTTCTAACTAGACTTTGCATATAGTCTTTATGCAAAATTTGAATGAAACACCATATTATTGATACTCCAAAATGTATGTCTTCACTGACTATTCCTTTTTTCTGATATAGAAGAGAATATACAGTACTACAAGTGAACCAGCAAAAATAGGTGTAAGTACAATAGGTACATCTTACAGCCTACAAGAACAAAGAAAGCTGAGAGTGCACAGAGAATATTAGACAGCAACTGAAAAATAACCTTTTTACAGTGTAGTAAAGCCAGAAGTTCATAAAAACATGACATGAAAGGGTTTCTACATTTGCAAATTATCACTTCAAGTAAACCTTTCACAGAACAATAGTTTCACAGTTTCAATCGCAGGGTTCCGAACTCCAATTCCCATGGGTTGTAGGGTTTTTGATCTCATTAAATTGGTAGTGTTGAATTGGTCTAGTGTTATGCTCAGTTGTAGATATGTAGATATGCTTTCTGAACCTCAGTCCAGGGAGTGCTGCAAGCTCCTTAACCCTCACATCACTTCCTTGGCCTAATTACATGAACTTGATTAACTTGGAAAAAATAACAATTCTGTCCAGGCTTCACCTACCTGTACAAGATCTTGTGCCTTAAAACCAAGTACATGTTTTAAAGCATCAAATCAATAAGAAGAATTTTATATTTGAGCAGTAGAATCAATCTGCCATCTCAGCACAATGACAAATTACAACAAATGCCAGAGAACATACAGTAGCTGCACTACAGGAACTCAACCTATAATTTCAGCTTCACTACAAGGGGCAAAGGAACCAATAACAGGGAAGACAACACCACATCATTTGCAATGAGATGCAAAAATTATTAAGGTTGAGTACAGAAAAAGGTTCATACTTTCATTCAAAGCACAGAATGACTCTGTTTCACTCCAGGAAGAGAAGTCAGTGCCACTTTCCGCCCGTACACGCAGGTTTACTGTGAATGAGGCCCTGATGGCAGACGTGAAGTTGCACTCTGTCTTGTTTGTTGGATTGCATGTTTCAATATCTGTCCAGCTCCATTTGTTATCATGTGAACTGCTGAACAAAATGGAGAACAAGCATGAGTGCATGGGGCACAGACCTAGGACTGATACTGAATGGCTCAACTGTTTCTGAGGTTTTTGGCAAGAGTGTCCTTTTTTATTGCATGATCACTGTATTAGGATATAAGCTTAATATTAACATTCAAAATAGTACATTGTTAGTAAATGAGTTGACCCAGGCAGATGTTTCCTCACATATAATAAGTGTAAAGTTTAATTTGGACTGACAAAAGAAGTCACAAAGGGTTTGGGTGTCTGGAACACGTTACCCAGCCAGGTTGTTTACAATCCATTCCATTGATTGGAATTACATTTGTAATTGGGTTAAAATGGAATTAGATTTGTAGAATAGTCACTGTTTCAATAGTGTTTTTAAAGTTGTAAATACATGTGCCTATACAGTGTAACAAGAATTAATTTAGCAAATAAAAAGTAGACATACAATAATCAGTAATGTACGAATCAGTAGCATCTGTCCAATCTTTGAAAAATCCCAACAGTTTTATAAATATACAAAATGAAAGGTAAACATTATTTTGAACAAATATATTTGCCTTAACTGCTTTACATTTTAATATTTTTTACCCTACTAGAAAGTATATTTATAGCTAAGTCACTTCATGAAATTAAACATTGCTCTAAAGCATTTATTTTCAAAATCCTTACAGTCTATGCATATATCTGCACAGTGTGAATAAATTATTTTTTAGATATCATACTGATGATATCTACAAAGGGTGGCACATAGGGTGCCATTTTGGCGCATTGCTGCCTCGCAAAAACTGGGGCTCTGGGTCAATTCTAGACCTGGGATGCTCTCTGTGCGGAGTCTGTGGGTTTCCTCAGGATGTACCCATTTCCTCCCACAGTCCAAAGACATACATACTGTACTAGTAGGTTAAGTGGCTTCTAGGAGAACTGGCCCTGGGGTGAGAGTGTCTGTGTGTGCCCTGTGATGGACTGGAGTCCCACCCAGGGCGTACCCAGTCTTGGGCCCATAGCCTACCAAGGTAGGCTCTGGCTCCCCTGCGAATCTGAATTGCATGATGTGGTTACAAAATGGATGTATAGATAAGACTGATATACGTAATACTCAAATTCAGATGTTTTTTCACATCTTCATCAAACTTGATAACATGACTGGACAGAGGATTCATAGGAACCAGTTAGTTTTACCAATAAACCAAAGAACTTGAACTGAGAAATGGATTCACAACAGACATTTTATTTGGACAGTAAGTAATTCAGTTCTCACTTCCTTTTCTAATACAAAATGGGATTTGGAAAAGGTATATAAATAAAATATTAAAGTTGTAGGTCGTATGTTGAAAAATTCACTAGTGTTTACTGATGTCTGTACTCATAGACAGGTATTGTGTTCATCATTTTACAAAACAATTTCAATGGTAAAGTAATCAGAGAAAGATACTATATATTTAGTAAGATATCACACAAAAGTTAAAGAGTTATATCAGTTTTAAAACACATTTTAAGACTCCTTACTTACAGCTTGTACTGCACTCTGTAATGGACTGTCCAATTTTCAGCAGTGACTGGGCTCCAGTACAGAATGCTCAACAGGTTTTTTGATATGATGGTAACATTATCAGGTGCCACCAACACCGAAAGGCCTTTTAAAGGAAAATATATCAGGACTTCATGCCATAAATATCACGAAAAATATCACATGAAAACAAGACTACTGAAAAAAAACACTTAAAAATCTACTTTATATTCAGATCCATTTTTGTCTTATAAAGAGACAGGTTTGTAATTTTAATCCTGCAGTGATTTTCAGGCTGAAGGTCTGAGTACTCTGCATCGAGGACAAAGGTCCTCTAAAAGTTTAATTGTTGGTAAACAGTTCATAGCAGCAAACTTTCTATAGCTGTTTTTAGCTCTACCTTACATTAATGGGACTAGTTTGCTTACCATTCTAGGTATCTATGACAGTTATAAAGTATGTTTCAAATCCAGATTTCAATGCTTGTTATTCTTACTGCTGTGATTGAAAACACAAACCATAAGGAAATATGATGACCTAAAAATATTAGAAACTTCTATTTTAATTTATTTTAGATTAACGCAGGTCAGCTAAAACAGAACTGAATCTTTCTAACCCAGAATACACTGGGCCACATTATTCTAGTCTAGTGTCCAAATCTCAAAAGGCATTTAGCAAGGTCTAAATCATTAGTAAATTACTTTCGTGTACAGTTTCGCATAAATTTAACTTACACTCGTTTTTTGCATTGTGAAATTCACATAATAAACTGTAACCTGAATTTCCCGTTTCTGACCCGAACACTTACATTACTTGTGGACTACAAATGAATTTCGAGATCGCTTTTTATTCAGCCTGTGGATGTTAATCACACGAAGAGTTGATCTCAACAGCGTCACATTACATACATGAATACAGTTCGAGACCCACTAGGAATGAGCTACACCAAACAAGACAACAATCTTACCTCTATGGATCACTTGGCAAACAAACATCAGCGTTAAAACGTGTTTCAAATCCATTTTTCATTCTTTCCTCAACGGTAATTATTTTCCTGGATCTCCATCTTGATTCTTTCATCACTTCCAGCGCCAGTCTCCTCCTATCCACGAAGTGACATTTATTATTAACCCCTGAGAGTCTAAGAGCTTTCTACGGGTGACACGAAATCAGCAGTGTAATACACAATAGGTCCTTTTTGCTTTAGAGATACGTTGTCAGATTAAAAACAGGAAAGAATGTGCTGACGTGCTTTAGCGCATATCTGATCTTTGCTCTCACTTGTATTTTCAAAAACAGTTTGGGTGTTCTCATTTCACGGGAAGAAAATCCCTGAATCATATCAGTAGTTTATAAAAAATAATTATCGCGTAACTACATGACACAAATCCAAAACTTCGAAAAATGTTTTTAAGAAGTATCAAATCTATCTGTAGTTACGTTAACTATGTTTATTTTTAGTCTGGTGTAGAGTAAGCCACTATGTTTCAAATCGTGTTAATCTGTTGTTACTCTCGCAGTACCATGTGTTCGTAAATACAGCGGTTTGCCGTGAGGTTATTTCCACAGTTCACAAATCGATGCTGGTGTGGTTTCAGTGGAGAAAGTGTGAGAATGGCACGACCGAAATAGAAAGAACAACAGATTTAAAACCAAATGTATTTTACAGGTATTAACAAATTCGGTAAGGTTTAGTTGCAGTTTCTTTTTACAAGAAATTATAGTTTTGAAATTATTTTGATAGTTTTTGCGGATTAAACAAATACTAAGATAATATCTTTCATTAAATGTAACGTGTAAAAAGTTAAAACATTACAGTGGAAAACTACTGTAAATCAAGTAGCTTTTATACCAATATATTGGTTCAAGTACTTTCATTATTGGTCTCAGAAAAAGACGTCAAAAACAATAGCCAAAATATATCCTAAAGGCTTTAAAATTCCCAAAGCGTTTTATTAAAAACAAAGGTCATCGCCTCAGCATGGTAAACTTAAATTGATGAAATTATGAGTTTTCCTATCTAATTTATATACTGGTACATACAGTAGAAGCAACCAGTTATACAAGTTTTACAAATGATAACGTCACCATACCTTGTTGTCCCTTGAAAGGCAAGCGGAGGCCTTCCGCGTTAAAGGTTTTATAGTGCATCCTCGCACAGAAAAATAAACTCCATGCCTTTATCTCTTGCATCAATGTCTCTCTGGAAACAAAATAAGTTATCTTGTGTTTTGCTTCAAGGTTTGTTGCTGCTTCCCGAGACTCAGCAAAGCCACTTATTCCTGCTCTCTTCTGTGCAGTCCAGCACTGCAGTGATCAGCTTTAGTATCACACATGCCTGAAGACTCACTTTTTCCCCCTAGCTAGGTGCGGTAAACTCCTACACGTGAGCTTCTTCGTTTTTTTACATTTTTTGTTTCATATACATTCACGTTATTGTTCATTCGCAACTCATGTTACCTCTGCAGCAGACTCTCAGACTGATAAGACAGAATGTGGATCAGAGGTACTTTTCTTTAACCAAATAAACTTTGTTTCACAATAAACCTCTTACACTAAGTACACACTATAACAAGTAATGCAATCTCTACTATATTACAAACGTCCTTAAAAGGGTGATTGTCCTTGCAATCCATGCAAGTGAATGCCAGGGCTGGATTTGCACAATAAGAATCCCTCCAAGCCCTACCACTTGCTGTTGCCCAAGCCTTTCCCCTGTACCAGCTCTGAAACTGCAGTCATCCAGTCCTCTTCAAGAGCTCAAAGGGTTTTCCTCCTTAGTCCCTGTACAGGTCCCTTCCAGCGCTCTTTCACCATTGAGAAGCACTATTTGGCAACGTCACGCTTCATCCTCCCTCTGAAATTGGCAAGGATCCTCTTCTCCAGCTCCCTCACTCACTCCATGTTGTATTGGATGACAGTGTTCCTCACTTTCCACAGTCCTTGTTTTATTAGGGACACCAGCAGCCAAAGCAAGTACTGTGTCCTTCTGTCCAATCCGGTTGGTGCCAGATCCAGCAGGATGCCCTGGTAGCTGAACATTGCTGCTGCTGCTGCTCCCAGGAGTTGCCTAGTGTTTTCAATTCTGCTCCACACCGCTTTGCGAAGGTACAGCTCCAGAACACGTCATCCTGCGTCTCCTCAACGAAACACATGTCCAGTGGGCAATGCGGGTTCCTGGTGAATGAGAGTCTGTAGAGGACCTCTCTCGTCACCAGCTTCTGGTGCACGGCCATCCAGTTGACGTCTTTTAACTTGTCAAGTTCCTTTGGCTGTGTCCTTTCCCAGACTTGTCTGGGAACCCACTCTCCAGCCAGTTGCCCTCTCACCTCTTTGTACTCAGTGTGGGTGCAGGTCTCTGGTCACTTTTCTGCTTTGGGCCCAGTGTTTGTCCACTGGACCAGGTGACTCATTGGGATGAGAATCACAGCCTTACAAAGTACTAATAATGGCTGATCAGTTCCCACTGCTCCCGACAGAGGCTGCAATAGAAGATGTTGTCAAGTTTTAGGGGGCAATGCAGCATGTCTCTCCCCCCTTCATCGACCAGCAGACACATCTGATTTCTTGTGGTGTACCCGTGCCTGCCTCCCCAGCCGAACTTGAAGACCATCCCTTGCAGCGCTCGTCTGAGTCTAGCCAGCAGTGGGTACACCACAGCCAGGTTAACCAAATCAGGCAGGATGTCTGCTTTCAACACCATCACTTTCCCTGTAAGTGACAGTGATCGCATCTTCCACAGACACAGCTTCACATTTACCTTGGCGATGCTCTCGGTCTAGTTTATGGTCTCGTTGTCCTGGCTCTGGAAAGAAACCTCCAGTATCTTAAGGGGCTCTGTGCAGACCTTGAGACCTTCCAGCGCCGTATTACATGTCCTTCCAAGGTTCAAAGAAATTGAGTTTGCTCTTTCGGCGGTTGAGCTTCCATCCCTAGGACCTGGAGAATTGTTTCATGACATATTTCTTCAACCCCCTGTCCGAGCTCAGGAAGAGCGTCAAGTCACATGCGTACTGGGAGATCTTGAGGGCTTCCCCCATACCTCACAGTATCGCCAGGCCATCGATGACAGGATCCTGTCTCACAGCATCTGCCAATGACTCTGTAAAGAGAACATCCTTGTCATACTCCGGATTCCAGGGGAATAAAATCCCCCAGATATCTGTTCACATTGACACTGCTGCCCACTTTAGAGTACAGTATCTTTATCCAGTGGCTGAAACTATCTCTGAAACCAAATTGTTGCAGCACTCAGAACAGATAGCTGTGGTTTACTCTGTTGAAGGCTTTCTCCCAGTCCATACTCACTACCATCATGAGCACATTTTGTTACTCGGCCCAGGCAATTGCGTCCCTATTGAGCAGGAGCTAGAGAGGTATACACTAGACATCGGTCATATGGTAACTGATTTGGCTTTCTGTCACAGTACAGTATATACATTTGAATCAATGGCTGAAATAAATATGAAGGTAATTCAAAAATCCGTGGTTTGGGTAAATTTTTAAGGGGTGTTTTTTATTATTATTCAATTATAAGAAAAAACAAAGACACAAATATACATAAAAATAGAGTAAAAAAGACATCCACTGACACAGAAAAAAGTACTCAAATATTAATATTTAAATACTTTTAGAAGGATTATAAATGAAGCCAAGGTAAAAAATATATAAAAGCATCAAAGAGTCTTCAATTTTTAACACATAAGCACCGATAATCATATATCGAAAAATCTCTCTTGTTTAAAATAACATCACTCCTTTAACAGAAATAACATTTTTACTCAGTCCCACTTGATTGCTGTAGTTTGGGTTAATATTGTTACAGACAATGGAGGTCTCTAAGAAATTGGACACAATGGGTAATACCTAACTAGTGTCAATATTTCTACTTCCTTAAAGAGCTTAAAGAGCTATAGACTTACTGTAAGTGTAATTTTGATTTAATGTTTAAATTGGGGGTCTTTGTTGAGAGGAATTTGAAATCCCCTGATCAGACTCCTGAGTTTAAACTCTTTATGCACATTTGTTAATCTAAAGATGACAATGGTCTTCATCAGAGTGTAGGCTGAGTGGATGCCCCCAGGGGCATAAACCAAAAGCTACAGCTGCACTATGGCTCTAGTGGGAGATAATCCCTAACACAGAAGGTGACTCACTGAACTGAGCTCTTTATGTTTCATGGTAAGTCACTGCTACATACAATGCAATTATTCCAAAGGGTCTCCTACTCGCTGTTTAATGACTCAGTGACACTACTGTGTGCATGCCAGCAGCCATATCACCCAGCACCTCACAACTGGCAACCTAAAGCTAAGCAGGTGTAAGCCTGGTCAGTACCTGGATGGGAAACCCTAAGGTGGTCAGTAGGGGACACTCACCCTGTGCTCTGTGTGGGTCCTAATGCTCCAGTATAGAAATGAGAAATGGTGACAATATACTGTAAAATAGGCGCTGTCCTTCGGATAAGATGTAAAACCAAGGTCCTGACTCTCTGTGCTCATTAAAATTCCCAGGACATTTCTCAAAAAGAGTAGGGGTGTTCCCCTGGCATCCTGGCCAAAATTCCCATTGGCCTTTACCAATCATGGCCTCCTAATTATCTTCATCTATGAACTGGCTTCGTTACTCTGTTCTCCTCCCCACTAATAGCTGGTGTGTTTATTGGCACACTATGGCTGCCATCGCATCATCCAGGTGGATATTGCACACTGCTGGAAGTGGAGGGGAGACCCCATTACCTGTAAAGTGCTTTGAGTGGAGTGTCCAGAAAAGCGCTGTATAAATGTAAGGAATTATTATTACTATTATGTATCCCAATTATGGATAGCACCTTCCCCTCCTCCAGCACAGCCCCTTCCTACTTTCCCACACTCCAGTTCTCCAAAGGAGCAGTACAGCTTAATTTCTCATCCTCTATCTGCCTCTCCATATAGCAATGACTTTGCAGACATCAGAATAGTGAATGTAGACAACTTTACAGTCAAAGTGTAAACGAATCCCCCCCCCCTGTAGCTGTAAAGCTGCATTTCAGTTCTGCTTTATTATACTGTAACAGAGTTATTTTACATAGTTAGAGAGAGGCACTGTACCGCAGCAGGGATGAAAGATTTTCTGAGTATTACATTTTCACCTGATGCATACCCTAGATGGGAAACTCACAATGGAGGGGCTGAGACACGCTTAATAATACTCTTGGCCTTCTTTGGATAGGAGGAAAGTTAAGTTGATTTGCCCCAGTTATTTTCCTACTTATTTTCACAACTTGTTATAATTAACGATACTGATGTTATCAAACCAACAAGTGAGATATTATGTAAAGCCAATTTCAATAAATGACTTGTACAAAAGTGTTAAAATAGATCAATCACAGCAAAACACCTTGAAATAGCTAAGAGTTTCTTAACAAAAAATAATCTCTTTTGGCCTTTATTATGAATGGTGTCACAACATCTGGCCATTTTAGGATTTTGTCCATGAGCAGTCCCAAGTACTTGTAGTCATTGACAATTACTAGTCACTCTGCAGAGATGCAATCACAAGGAACAAGCAGAAGTAAATTTCAAGCTGAAAAGAAAAAATATGTTTCAGCAATTGAACCTTCTTCAGGTATCAAGAACTCGAAATCGTACTGTAAATACCAGCTGTGTGCAAATCTGCAGAGTTACTGTAGATCAAAGGGACCTGCTTCAGCCCTCCCTCCAAGCTGTTGCTTTGTTAGCTGTGCTGTTGAAGCATGCGTGTTGTAAAAGAATGACAATTTCAAAAGTATAATTAATGGAAATCACAGATGGACATAGATGGTATTTCTATGCCTGATATACTGATTTTCCTCACTGGCACCACAGCATAAAACCTATACTTTTAGAAGTATTCTAATGTGGTATGCCTCATACAGATGTTATAATTGCTTGGTTCAGATCAATATTTGTTTTGGTTAAAGTTGCTGGCATTCTCCATGGATAACAGAAAATCAAATATGCATTTTGCTTGTAAGGTACTGTATGTACTGCTAAATTTATCGATATGGTGTTAAAATGAAATGGAAAAAACAGGAGTTCAATTATAATTCAATCCAGTATGATTGAAACTTCTGTGCATTTTTTAAAATGGGACTATCAGGTGGTTCATCAGCTTTCAGTAAATGATATGTTGGCACATAAAGGCTGCGTGGCACTGTGGAGCTGTGGTTCGCATTGCTGCCTCGCAGGGGGGTTTCATTTCTGGTCCTGGGGTGCTAGGTGCACCCTGTCCTTTATGGTGTCCTGTATGTTCTTCCCATGTTTGCTTTGGTTTCCACAAGGTGTTCCAGTTTCCTCCAAGAGTACAAAGACATGATGGTGGCTAATGGCATCTTGGAAAAATTGGCCCTTGGTGTGAGTGTGTCCCTTGCCAGGATAGGCTCTGGCTCCTCCACAGCTTTTTATTCCAATTTCATTACTAGAAAGAAACTGTCAATTTCTACACTGTGTTAATGTCACTGATAT